TATATATATCTGGACTACTGTTTCAATGAGCACAGTGCCAATAAATCAATTGTGGTGCGTAATGTACAGATGTTGCATTTTCTCCATTTTGCAGACTAGTGTCATAATTCAAAAACATCAATTCATAAACCTCTCTTGCATGCAGTCAGTTATCTCTAGTTTTTATTCATCATTATTAATTTTACCCGTGAGTGGTATAAAAAACTTACATAAACACGAGTTCCATGAGATAATATGAATTGTATAGGGTAAAGGAATCTGGAAGTAAAATTTTCAACAATTTTGTAACTTCATTTTTGTTCAGTTGTGGACTCTTGATTATTCAGAAGAAGAGTTTCCTCCAGGTGGAAATTTCTATTCGAAGCTCATTTCAAAGGAATTGCTACATCATGTTACATAGTATAATACGCACTGATATTGAGTTTGTCAATGGTAACCAGTATTACAATATGTAAGGATTATTCTAAATTTATGTATATTTGCTTTCCTCCCATTGTTGATACAAGTTATTGCAGAATAATGAAAAGTTCTTTCTTGAGCCTCATCATGTCTTCGAACATATCACTTATCATGTACAATGTGTTTTATTCCTATGAGAAATGTCCAATTCATTATTTCTTGAAACGGCATGCTTTGTTAACTCTGTCTTATTGTTTCCCCCACTCAGAATCTCAACCTTTAGTTGTATGATATTATATTTTCCTGTGTATAAATTGTTATAATACTGCAAATGCATTGTGAGCGAAAGCCCTTCAAGAAATATGGAAATAGCTTGTGCAAGTAAAAACATCACTCTTGCATAATGGTACTATGTTTATTTGTGATATTTTTGCTAAGAAATAAATTGCAATAAATTAATTAGAATATTGCTCCATTCAGCTAAGTGTACCTTTTCACTGGTGCCTGCATTTTTAATTTAGTAAATGCCATGTTGTAAATTTTTTTCATTATGTGCTGTAAACTATTGTATAAAGAATAATTTTATTAATCTTATAAATTGCCATTTGAATGTACAATTAAATTTTTTAATCAAAGAATTTTATTTTGTATTATTTTATTTTCTTGCTTTTTATGTTAACATTAGATTTAATTTACTTAAAATTGAAAGACTGAGTTATATATAAGTAAATTTTGTGAAGCATAATTGAACCATCAGGAGTAGACCTAAGATGTTTTTATTAGGTTTTTGGTAGTTTGGTGCTTTGTTCACATTGCTGTATAGAGTTTTATGTAGTTTCATGTGTAATGTAAAAATGTTGCCAGCTCTGTGTACTCTATGCAGAATGTTTTCATGAAGTAGTAGAAAAGATATTGAATTTTCTTATATATTACAAAAAACAAATCTTGGAAGACAATAGGGACTAATAACCCATAATTATACAATAAAAATTTGCATGACTCTTGTCAAAACTAATGGTTTTATAGGTGGTGAGTAGCTTTCCATCCATACCTATAGGACTTGATTTCTGTGACAAGAACAGTATGCCACATTAAGATTTACTTGAGTTTCATGAAATTTTGTAAAAAAAGATATAAGGAATAATGTGGTTTTCTGAAAGATTTGGGGAAAGAAAACCGACTGAATTCTAATAAATGCTTAAAGTGTTGATAGGAGTTTAGTCTGTGTCGGTCACATCACTGGCTTCTTGTATAATGCAGTTAGCCATGCTTAACTTTGGTCTGGGCTGTACCTGTTGGAAAATAAATGGCCATTGGCACTAAATAGCTTTAATTTTTTTGAAGTTTGTAGTATTATCTGAATTTAAAATATTGTTTCCTTATCTATAAATGGAAATAGTAATAATTTTACTTCAGATTTAGAGCTTGAAATTATTAAGAATATCTTGTTGGTTTCTAGTTTTTATTGTTGAACTGCATCCCATCTTTGAAACTTATGTTACACTTTTGTTCGTATTGTATTCTGTTAATTGTGATCAAAAAGTCATTCCTAAGGTTATGATTTTGACCTGCTTAGGGTTTTCAATTGGTGAATTTAATTAATATATTGTTTTTGAAAAATATGCAGCTCCCTTAACTTACAATTTTGTCTGTATTTGTTTGTCCCTACACTTAATTTTGTCTGTATTGGAAAAGCAGTGCTTGAAATAAGTTGGCAAAGGTCTCTTGACTACATCTTAAACATATTTTGATTACTTTGCAGTTGCATTACAATTTAAATATTTCTTTAAATTGAAAATGAGGAAGGAAGACCACATGGGAACTCTGTAATGCTGAACTTGGAACAAAGATAAAATTTAAAATTGACTTATTAAAATTTTCATTCAGTATTATTTCTTAACACGTTACTACTACTGGTTATTTGCTAATCAATGTTATAATAATTTTATGAAAATTATTTGTTGCAAAAGTACCTGTTAACTTTACTCATGATATTCTGTTTAAAGACTTTAAGACTTGATATCATTATTGTCCCATGTTAGTTATGGCATAATATTTGCTCCAGAAATTCATGTATTACAATAGCATGAATATGAAGAGTTGTTCATGTGTGTGCATTTGAAAACCTTTCAGTGTACTTCTATGTCCTTTATTGTGTTTATTATAATATAATTACAAATGTCACAGGGAAAACATCTTTCCATCAGTTTATTCATGGTATTATTATGTGAAAGTTATATATTCATAAATATTTTCTTATTTGTCTTTTTCTCAAGCACTGCTAAACCAATAAATAAACCCCACTAATGATACAACAGCATTTTTTATTTTAAAAAAAATAAATTTATTAACTAGTAAGTTTTATTTGCATGTGAGTATCTGAGTGTTATTTATTCCTTTACTATTTATGTGCTCATGTTTCACATTCCAGTCAGGTTGAGGCATCATTCAAAAGACAGAGGGGGCATCAGTGGGGCTGCTTCAATGTAGACGTTGAAGGATTCTGTCTTGCGAAGATGTGGGTAATATTTAAACTTCTTGCTCTTGGTCAAACTTGTTTTTCATTTCTACATTTATTGGATTTTATTGTGAAAAGATTCAATATTTATCAAAGTATTTAAATTTTTTTCATTGAAAGCTGTGCAACAAATATCAACCAAGTGCTCACCATTGAGTTTTAGAACATTCACCATGCAATGGAATTATTGTAATACCTTTTTCATTCCATTCCCAAAGCAAAATATTTAATGAAAACACCATTTCAAGTTCTATTTGCCATTGCTCTGTATACAACCTATCTTCAAAAATGAATTATACCTTGGAGCATTATTCAGTAATAAGGAAGAAGTTTTTCCACTTTAAACTTTACCTTAAGACTTGAAGTAATTTGTTTCCATTACTAACTCGGTTACCCGGTTTTGGTTTTGAATTAGTTGTGTCTTGGTGACTGAAATTTGATAAAGTCTGCAGTGTTAATTTAATGCTTGCTGTGTGCAACTGATAAAGTAGTAACATGAGCAGGAAGTTGTCAAGTGATGTCCTTATTCTTTTCGTGTCTTGGTCTTTTTATAGTTAAATTTATCACAATGTTATATGTATTTGGCTGTTTATATTTGTGGTTTATTTTGTTCTTATTACGTGCTTTCCTCATGTTGAAAGTATAAGTTAAATAACATATATGTGCATATGTTTGCCACTTTTTGTCTCGGTACAAATCAGTGAATTAAATGATGGTTTGAGTACTTGTAGCCTTGTTCTTTTGTGTATTTGTAAAAGTGGAAATTACGTACTTCTGTTGCGTGAGTCATACGTAAAAGAAAGTTCATTGTAGTTTTCTTTCCCTGCTATATTATTTTACTCTTCCTGGTGATCACAGGCAGGTGTATGTGTGTGTGCTCGCTCATAATTTGCATATTTATAAATAGATACTCTTTGAATGCATGAAATCGAGCTTGAGACAAAGCTACTGTTATATGGTAAGGAGGTTTTATTTAGACTTAATACCAAATTATCAGGAATTAGTTGAAAGGAACAAGGCTAAATGTTTTGTTGTAATATTTTAATGTGTATCAGCTGCTAATTTTATAGAATGTTACAAATGAACGTATTGTAGTGTAAATGTTAATTTATTCATGCTGCCTACCATAAATGTTTAATAGAGTATTATTGCTTGTTCTTTCTCCATCAATCAATAGGTCAAAGGGAATTTACAATCAATTATTGTACGGTCAGACACTCACAAACTCATCAATTGTCAATTTTGAAGGACATAATTATCTTTCAAATTGTGAATAAATGATGAAGTAGAAAGAACTACCTGATGATGTAAAATTGTAACTAAAATACCATCTAATTATTCGACTCATTTGAGGAAGTGTATCATTCCTGTGTTGTGATTTAATCCTAGTTGTAGATCACAACTTTGAATTGTTGCCAAGAGTTTTTTGGAAGTTGAAGAAATCATGCATGTATAATGCTGTGGTGATTAATGATTGTTTACTAGTTCATTGGCTTTGCGAGAAATAATGATGGCTGAAATTTAGTGTGCTTGATATGTAATGTGTACAACTTGTTTGATGGGTTTTTTATCATTAA